CTTGGAGGGCGGCCCTCCAGAGATACTTCGACGAGACGATGCATGCACCTGCGACGGTGGCAGCGTACCTGGCTCATCCGTGCACGAGAACTGACCTGCAAGTACGGTTGGCTTGGTGCTTGATGGGCATCAAGAAGGCGGAATATGAAGCCAGTAATGATTCGAAATCACGGGAACAGGAGCTGGAGTTGATGGAAGCTCTGCGAGCGTTGATTTCAAAAGATGATTCTGCGATAGCATGGGCTAAGCGTAAGGATGCCCTTTGCTTTGTCAGGTTCGTGGTGGATCGTATCCCCACTCCTGCTTTGGGAGAATGTATAAAGATCATTCGGCAAAAGGGAGTTGATTGCGAAAGAAACTTCTTTAGGGCACTCCTGGAACTATATCAGGATATGCCGTTGACTGTACCAAACTGGGAGTCGAATGACATGGAGAGCTATCGTTAGTTTGGAAGAGGTGAGAAGATATTCCAACAAAGATTTGAAAGTGAACCGGGAGTTGATTGAAGCAGTCAGGGGGCAAAAATACTTTGCAACACTAAGGAAACTTAAGTCGTTCCAATATGTGTCTGGCATACCGGGGATGGCGTATAATCCCTTCGTGAATGAAGAAGCCAGGGAAGCGTACTTTGACTATGAGCAAGTCATAGTACTCAATTTCTGGGTTGAACGGATTAAAGAAACTGGAATGATGATGGTGGAACAACCCAAGCTGGGAATTATCTTAGAAGAACGAGTGGTCGAACCCTCGGTTCCCGAGCTAAAGGGGCAAGTGAGTTTTGATTGTGGTTCTTGGGACGGTCCCTTGAAAACCAGACTAGTAACGATATGGGAACTCATGAAGCCTTCTTGTTGTCCTCATCCTAACGCCGGTTTAATCTGGGACATGACGGCGGATATCACGTTAGACCTGGATGATGACGCGAGTTTACATGATCTGGCCATGATACACCATCTGCTGGCCATGAGGTTGACGAAGCGGAAGAGCAACCCGTCCACGGAGCTATCCGAGGAAAATCCATCGAGCAATTGGTTGAAGCAAGGCACATGCTTGGCTCAACATAGTGGGATGGAAGGACATGTTTGCAACTTGGGGCACTGCCTGATTACGCTGAGCGAGCAGCATCGACAACTGGCACAATTTTACGGAAGATTGAGCATGTCGGATAAGAGTGGCATGGAGTTGGTCGCGGACTGTCATGGGGTGACGGATGTAAACTTGACCACAGCCTTGGGATTTTGTAGCATGACGAGTTCTATAGAATCGCTTGAGCGCCTGGAGCGTGCCCAGTAGCTAGTGACGTCCCTCAGCGTGGAAGTATTCCCTGGAGCATTGCAGACAGAGCAGAGGATCGGAGGCTGGCGAGAAGCTCTGGAAAACGAAATGAATCTGAAGGATAGTGAAGCATATCATGAACATACTGGTTCAAAAAATCTGGTGGGCTCAAGCTCCGCGCCATATTGCAATAGTAGGTATCCTACGCACATGGTGGTAATGGATGCGAGGACGCAGCAGGTGTTGATTGACCAACTTTTCTCTGTGCCAAAGTGCGTGAGGTAGGCCAGAATGTCGGAGAGGTCATATGATTTGTTGGCGAGGTCATATGATTTGTGGGTGAAGAGTTCCTAAGATTGAACGAAGGTAATGTGAGTTAGTTCCAGAAGCAGAGAGCGAGGGAACATAGTGAGAACCCATGGGGAGTATCCTTGCCACTGCTTGGCCCAGACGTTGTGGTACCCCAAATGCGGGAATCTGATGCTAGTATGGGACGACGAGGAGAATTGTACTCTACGGGGTTGCCCGATCAGAATCAACCGATGTCAATCGTGGTGGTTAGTGCCATGCTGGCAGTGAGATGGTTGGAGGCTACCGCGGACACAAGTGAACAGGAGACGGCCGTGCCGACTCCTGAGCAGCTGAGCAACGTGAAGATGAGTCGTGAATTGGATCTTTTCAGAACCACCTGCAAGGTTCTGATAATACCCAAAGCCATTGAAAGAATATGGTCAAGGCAAAGATTGTTGCCTTGGTTCTGTGCAGTGATGACATCATGGATGTATGAACGCGCGAAGCGTCACATGTCGTGGAACACGGAAGCCTATCAATCTTTCCAGCTAGATATAGGACCGGGAGCCTATAAGAGAGCATACCTGACGCACAGAAACGCGGTCACCACGGTGGTGAATCGAGTAGCTGGAGCGCCTTGTGTAACTGAAGATGAGAAGAAAGAGGTCTTAAGAGCTGACCTAGAAAGAAATGTGAGCCTATGTCTTCACAACAGCTTTTGCAGGAACCGGGAGCAAAAGGTGAATGTGGACTTGCTACCTTGTTGCAAACCGAGGCTGTTGGAACAGGAGAGTTGGGGCACGGCCCGCAACTCCATGTACATGCTGGAGAAAGTCCTAGAAGACAGCGAAGCTGAAGATCAGGATGGAGAAGCGATGGAATGAAGATGATGAACGAAGAGAACAAGTGAAGACGTGAGCAAGAAAAGAAGAGAAGGAGAAAAAACTTGATTGTCTTTGTGTGTTAAAACTTGAACCAATCAGCCAAGTTTGATTATTGAACTTGTTAAACTTTTTGTTTCAATTTAGTTTGGTCAAACCAAACTTTTAAAATTGTTTAAATTGTTAAAATTGTTGAAAGAGAATTTTAGTTATACTACTTATGTATATATATAGAACATAGGTGAGTATATTTACCTATTTAAACATGACTGAAGTTTTTAACCTGTGTAAGACACAATTTCACTGTGTGGCGACATGGTAAGTTTGAGTAAACTCGCTCGAGAGGGTGCATAACTCAATAACTTTCCTAGCCACAGAGTTTCTTAGTTTTAATATTGAAGGGACCGCATAAATAACTGATTATACTTGGTGAATGATGTTAAGTTAATTTTAACGGGTGCGTGGCCGTGCCACGTCCCACTTTTTAATCACAAAGAGCAATAAGAAGTTTTATGGCAAGACGACGGAAGTAGTCAGAAAAGAAATTTTGTCTAGGACACTCCTCATGGTGCAAATTTTGTGAAAATGTTGAAAGGCAGTGAGATGTAGTACGATGCCATTTGTGAACACGTAGTGAGTTGAGGTGGAGTAGATAAATTTCATTTTCTTATGCGATTTGTAAGATTGATTATAGAGAACTGGAACACTACTTGACGATAACCCGGTGTTATGCGATCAATAGGGACATTGCCCGGGATTTGTAAGATTGATTATCAAGAGTAGATAAATTTCATTTTCTTATGCGATTTGTAAGATTGATTATAGAGAACTGGAACACTACTTGACGATAACCCGGTGGTATGCGATCAATAGGGACATTGCAACTTGTCCGGGGAGTATGTGCCATTCTGCCAGATAGGCACGGTGCAACCTTCCGGCGACACAAAAGAAAACGAATAAAGGCCTTAGTAATGAAAAAGTATTGCGAAGGAGGGTAGGAATATTTCTGAGAAATAGAAAAAGACGGCAATTTCGACTAAGAGGGACAAAAAAACAGAACAACGAAAAAGAATGTGGAAAACGGTCGCACAAGAGACGAAAAACACGAAGCCTCTTATGTAGTAGTAGTAGTAGTAGTAGTAGTAGTAGTAGTAGTAGTAGTAGTAGTAGTAGGGATTTAGTGTTTCCACAAGGGGTCCAGGCCCCTGTCATCCTTCACGTCTCATATCGCGAGTCTAGTTCTACAATTGTTTGTCGCACAATCACATGCAAGCTTCCATGTGCATTTATTACTTTCGTCATAGAGTGCAAATTTGTTCCAGAACACTTTGAGCAGTGCGCCTTTCAGTCCAGACCGATTTCGCAAATCTATCCTAAGTGCATTCGCAAGACGACATGCGCAACAACACACGATAAGACTCTTAGCAGTGGATATTAGTGGAGAAGGAAGCTTCAGTGGAGAAGGAATATTCCACGGAACCCTCCCGTGCCACAAATTGGAAGAGATAAGAACGTTATCTCAGGAAGATTACGGGAGCGGAGGCTTGGTCCCCCAGAGACTGTTTTATGTGAAGGGACTATATATAACTGACTTTGTATCTACTTGCATGTCGTAGAAGTCTGAATTAACATCGGTATAATTTGATATTTTAGAATATGAGTAGCTAGAAAGAGGAAAGTGTCAATCCATCTCCAATGGATTTAATATAGAACTTTTACACAAAAACATTTTAAAATTGGTTGTTCGAGCCGTTTTTTTTAATGGCAATCACGTGGTCTGAGGATCCGAGACTCAGCTATGTGGTTGTGTTCGCATGTAAACGAAAGCTGATCAAAAGTCGTTTGACTGATGGCCTAAAAATAATAAGTTTTTACTTAGCCCTAAACAGACCAGAAAATCAACTGGCAAGGTCGAGACGGTGAAAAACGAGTAGGATTAAGGTAACTGACGCCTGCCAGTCGTTAATAGGTACTTTTTCTACGCTCCGTCGCTGTGTAGTATTTGGGCGAATGTTACATATCTATAAAATTGTTTGTAAAGTTTTAATACCAGCTCGTTCTTAATTCTTAAAACTTATGTTTTTTTAGTATCCGTAACTTCAGATATTTTAATCAACCAATTTCTGAACTGTAACCGAACTTGTTCTGTTTTGCTTTGTTTTGTTTATTGCTTGTTTTCTGATGTTGTGTTTTTGTTTGATTAACCAATGAATTTTAACCAACTTTATTATTTACACTTTGCTTCTACTGATGCCTCGGCTTTTTACTGTATAGTGTTCTTTCTTCTTCTACTTCTGATCAATTTTTTCAACAATTCAACATTGACTATTGGGGCCACCACGGCTGCCCCTTATATTCATATTTTAACTGAAATCTATTTAATAAGTTCGAAATTAACATTACGACGATGCATTTAATGCTGATTTATGACTTCATTGATAAAATGGTACAGCTTGCTGATATATATGCATTTTTATAACGCTGGTATGGCCCTATCTAGATTGTGCACTCACCGTAACTAAACGGAAGGGCTCTTTTGTATTTTAGTTTTTTATCGGGTTTTAGTAACCGAATGGTGCCTTTCCATTAATCTGAACAGTCAAAATGAGAAGAGCTGGGTTCCTGACAAAATTCATTAGGTCGAAATCAAGTTTCCCTATTGTTTCTTGCTCAAAAGGAGCGTATTTAGAATGCAACTTGAGCTCTAGATGTCACAGGTTTTTGGGTCCTTATCGGAGTCACGTTGTTCCCCGATTGCAGATGTCAATTGTTCCTTACAAGCTTTCGGATATTGGCGAAGGAATAAAAGAAGTCGTTATAAAAGAATGGTTCATCAAAGAAGGAGATACCGTTAATCAGTTTGATCAGATTTGCGAAGTGCAGAGTGATAAAGCGTCAGTGACCATCACAAGTAGGTATGACGGAATTGTCAGAAAACTGTACTATGAAGTTGATGAAACAGCCCAAGTGGGGCTTCCGTTTGTCGACATAGAAGTGACTGAAGAAGAAGATACAAGCTCGAGCCTAGATTCCATCACAGAAAATATAGCAGACTCGGAAGGCCAAGAGCTATCAGATCCTTTCGAAAGGCAGAAAACTCCAGTTGAAAATGAGTCACTTGGTAAAGTTTTAGCGACCCCAGTCGTGAGACGGATGGCATCCGAAATGAAAATTGATTTAACAACGGTTTTTGGAACGGGGCCAAAAGGCCGAGTCTTGAAGGAAGATTTGATCAATTTCCAGAGCAAGGAACCCAAGACCGCTTTCATAGAAGTGAGTTGCTTGAATCGATCAAACTTTGACTTGAAAAATTTTTTTATTCCTAATAACCAGGTTGACCATGTTTTTTTTTCTGTAGTTCTTTCGATATTTAATTTTGACATTTAATTTTATTGTTCTGGAACATAAAATTACAAGAAAAACAGTTGGTATAGCTACAGATAAACTTGAAAAACAAATATATTTTTTTTTCTGAACAACCAGCTTCGTACTGATACTGCTTGATTCCATCATTATTTTGAAATCTTGATAGTTTTTGAGTAAATTAGTAACTCAAGCTTTCTTTGCAGTCATCTGAGTGCAAAACGCCAACAAGTTTCACCAGTAGTTTCCAACCAGCACCAGTTGCCTCCAGTCATGACACAGTTGTGAAATTGACAGCATACCAGAAGGGAATGCACAAAGCGATGACATCTTCGCTGCAGATTCCACATTTCACATACAGCGATGAAGTGAATATGAACTCCTTAGTGGCAATGAAGCGAGAGGTAATCAATCAATCATCAATCAATCTATTATTTAATTGGCGTTTCATGCGACAGATGTTTAAGAAGTCCCTATGTTGACATGTTTAAGAGAACTCTATCTTTGCATGTTTAAACTTTTCGACGTGGTATTTTTTGCATGTTTAACGAAAGTGTTTTTTTTGCACGTTTAAGCTATATCGTATATTAAAACGCTCTAATTATGATTTTTCATTCTTTTTTTTTCAAAAAAATTAGATGTAAAAAAATTAAACCGAACTTAATTTTCTCAACCCTATAGTGGGGTCCTGTCGGGGTAAACTCAAGGGCTCTAAATCTAACGTCCAAGTATGACTGCTCAATTCCTTATGGTTTTCGAGATATGGCGTTTTTTAAGATTTTTCATTCTTTTTTTTTTTTCAAAAAACTTTGATATAAAAAACTAACCGAACTTAATTTTCTCAACCCTATAGTGGGTTCCTATTGGGGTACACTACTGAGGTTGCAAAAATCTAGCGTCCAAGTATGACTGCTCAAATCCTTATAGTTTTCGAGATATGGATTTTTTAATGATTTTTTCAGTTTTTTTCCAAAAAGTTGATACAAAAAAAACTTAACCGAACTTGAATTTCTCAACCCTATAGTGAGGTGCTGTCAGAGTACGTTCAGGGGTTGCAAATTTGGCGTCCAAGTATAAGTGCTCAATTCTTTTTTTTTGAGAATTATGGTTGGTCAGTTTTCTGAAGAATGGTTTTGTAGCACCATTTTGAAGAATGGTTTTGGAGGTGCGATTGACGCGCTAGTTTTTAGCATTTTAGCATTTTTTTTGTTTTCGGAACGTTTGATGTCTAATCACGTGCTGTTGGCTTAGTGAACGTTCTGACAAATACTAAAAGCTTGATTACTGCTATTGGTTGCATTTCTAGTCTGTTTTTCTGCCAGTGAATTTTTCGTGTTTTGGAAAAAATGTTTTTTTTTTTCAAGTTTTGATTACTTAGTTATTCCCATCTCACCGTCTATTAGGTAGCTTGCAATGCCACGCCATAATTGTATCGCTAGTGATGGGAATCTCCGCTTTGCCTCTGTGTATACAACTGCTGCTCCAATCAAAAGCCTTCATCTGAGTCCTAATAAAATTGATAAAGTGTCTGATTTCGTTTTTATTATTTCAAAACGTTTTAGAATGAAACCACGTAATTGACCAATTGCCTGTACAAAAACGCTTTGTACAATTATTTGTATCACTCTCAAAGTTTGAAACATCCGATAATCCCTCTCGAACCACCGGATTAAAGCTCTTCTAACTCTGGTCTGCTTACTGCCGGTCTTTAATCTCGTGCCTGTCCCGCGTAGGCTGTTTCTTTCCCTACTGTAGTAAAATTGTTTATTTGAACTGCACTTTATGTACCAATTTCTTATCTGTCCCATAAATCTTTTCAAAATTACAACCCGCAAAGTTGTGGCTACGGTCGCTAGTTGTTGAAAAATTCCTTACTTGGAGACAGACGAGAACTGTTTGATTTTTTTTCTGGATGTCTAATAGCTACCTGTTCCTAGACCAGTGTATATTAAACATGCTGTAATACTGAATGTATGCGATCCTTTATCAAGATATGGATTCGTTTTTTTGTCGATAGCATATACAAACAGGCGCACAGACAATTCAGCCAAAAATATACAGACAATTCAGCCAGTTTTACAAAATGCTAGATTCGAAAGAAAAAAAACTGGAATTGGAGCAATTTTTCGGTTTAAGGTCGCCGGTGGGCGCGCTATGCGCGCATCGCCGCTTTGCGGCGATAACCGGCTCTAAATTTCGTATACAGTCCTACCCTCTGTTGGCAAGCTCGCAACACATTGGCGCGACTGCGGCTGTCACTACTATTATTGGCTCAATTGTCTGCATACTTTTGGCTGATTGTCTGAATTTCAAATCGGCTGAATTGTCTTTGGCCGAATTGTCTGGACGCGATACAAACAACCTGTAAAATTAATTTTCGTTCACATTTTTTTCAGTTTATTAATTAACTGTTTGTTTTTTAGAGTCGATGAACGTAATTCAGACTCGTATATAGGTCGCGGTGATTTTTTGTCATGCTCAAGTTTACTTTTTTGCGGTTTTTGACAGTTGATTTCTTCTTAAGTTTTCATTTCGTTTTTTGAAAGTAAGGCAAACTCCACTATCGAACACCTAAATTGTAAAGGTAACAAAAAACGTAGTCGAATTCTAATTTCGAAAATGAAATTTAATTATCAGGTTTCCTAGCGAAACAAAAATTACCAATTGATCCAGTTTTCTCAAGTTGGGTTATATTTATCCAAAAAGTGTCATCATAAATTGTTTTAGAAATTCAAAGAGCTAAAGGCCATTTATTTTTTCTTAGATTTTCGAAAGTTTTGAGTTTTAAAAAACAACTCATATTTTTTTTGTGTTTACTTGCATTCATTGACTCTTTTCCAACTATTGTATGTTGGGTATGTTCTAATAGTGCTATTTGCTAACTCGGATGACACTGCGCCAGCTCTCAATCAAAAATAATAAGGATAATTACAAATTATATTATGCATTGAGTGAACGATTTCCTAGCTTTTTTGAACAGCTTTTTTGACCTGTTTATTTTTTTTCGGGTCGGCAGGGGTCGAATTCCTGAAGGGGCGTCCGCCCCCTTGCCCCTGTATATTTGGATTTAGTTGGTTTGTTATATTAGTCAGGCAAATTTTCTGAGAATTGTCAAAATTGGTTTCATTTAAAGTCAGTTTTAGCATTTAGTTGGAATGAATTTTGGTTTTAGTTGAAATCTATTGGGAAGAAAATGGGAGTCAAGATCACGCTTCTCCCCTTCATGATCAAGGCGGCTTCTCTAGCTCTGAAACAGTACCCCCAGATCAATGCTCACTATCTCCCAGAAGAGGAAGTGGTACTACTGAAGGGATCACATAATGTGGGGGTTGCAATCGACACTCCTCAAGGTTAGATTGTGTGGTTGGATTTGGACTGTTTGAAACTGTAGTTTGATTTCTCGCGGCAACTCCGTCAAAAAGAAGCTTACCACAAAAGATAGCTCGAAAAATTAAGAAAGCGACAATTCGCAAAGTTTGAAAATTAGTTTAAAGCGAATTATTGGCAAGTGGCGACGCTTGCTTCGCTGTGCTTACATTCGGCATGTGTGATATAATGTGCGTGAATTGTTGTTTACCGCTAATCTAGGTTGAAATTAACGAGATTTGTTTAATTATTTTTTTAATTGTCGGAACCTGTCGCTTCCCTTAAATGTTGTGAAATATCTTTTTTGTGAGCTATCCTTTGTTGTGCATTGTCGTATTATCGTTAGTTTAGAGTTCCAGATAGCTGGTTTAATATTTTTTGTCCCTTAACTAAATTAAACTTAACTTAATTTAAAAACTTAATTTAATTTAAAAAAAAGAAAGAAAGAAAGAAAGAAAGAAAGAAAGAATTTATTTGTCCCAAATGAAGTTTTTAGACAACATCGTCAAACATTATAAAGAATCAAAATTATCAAGGAGAGGATAGACGAAGGGCAAAATAAATAACCACTGAAATTCTACACTAGAAAGTAAAGATTATAAATACTTCTTGATTTTAAATATAATCTTAGTAAATTAATTTTTTGAATATAATGATCATTTTTGATTTTTTAAATCCAATTATTTAGGATAATGAAATTTCTTCTATATAACAGTATATCAAGGTTAGCTTAAGGCTGCACTATGTAATTGTCTCGCCATGAATTTAGTCTTATGTTTTTGACATGTAAAAAATAAAAGAATTTATAACTATTTATTTAATTATTACGAAAATTTCATATTTTCGATCAATTTGAAATTCGAGTTAAGTAGATATCGTAACTTACAAGCTCGGTATTTTAGACCGACGACGTAAGCGCATTAAGGGAATATTACTGAAGAAAAGTTGCAATGTAAAATCGGTTTCCCAAAGATGTTTCATGTTTTAGGTCTGTTAGTTCCAAACATCAAAAACTGTGAAGTCAAATCAGTGGTCGAAATTGCACACGATTTGAACGAACTTCAAAAACTAGCCGATGATGGAAATGGGAAAGTATCTTTCCAGCAGTCTCATTTATCCGGAGGCACATTTAGTCTATCGAATATTGGATTTCTGGGAGGAACTTATACAAAACCGGTTATAGCTCCACCAGAAGTGGCCATTGGTGCTATTGGAAGAATTCAGGTCTTACCGAGATTTGAACTCGTAACCCATGGGTCGAAAGATAATTACTACGAAAACGATTACAAAGTTGTTCCGACTAATGTTTTGAATATAAGTTGGTCGGCTGATCATAGAGTTTTAGATGGAGCTACAATTTGCAGATTCTCAAACCTGTGGAAATCTTATTTAGAAAATCCAAAACTCATGCTACTTTATTTAAAATAGACGTTTGATTTAGCAGTTATTTATTGAGGTTTGCTGGTTAAACTTTTGAACCCTAATTTTTGTTCTAATGGAAACTTCTTCATAATAGGTGGTAAATTTGCCAATGCTACCTGTACATGTACCAAATTTTTTTTTATTATTTTGGATATTATGATCTAACTGTAGCGACGGCGCATTCTTTTCTGTATATCGTACCACCTCTTTTAATTTATCACCAATATTAGATCTAAAAATTGTTTTCAAAATAGATTTCAGTATTTGGGTTTGATCATTAAACCAGTTATTTATTTAATGGTTAGTATAGCTGGATTAGTATAGACTATCGTTTGCAGTTTTGATATCTTGCTGTAAGTTATGAAAATATGCCGATGCAATAATATAGATGATTTTATAGTATGTTCGTATCTTATATTTAGATCTTGTCTGAGCCGCTGTCATATTATGAGATATTTATACGTGGATAATTTAAGTTTCACAAATTGATAAAATGGTTAAGCTTTTGTAAAGTTTAACTAATCTGGGGATTAATTATGTGATCCATTCTCACTTTTGAACCCATTTTGACCAAAAACTTAAGTTTTAAATGGTTGAATTGTGTGCGTTTAAATTTGCGTTCAATGTTTTGGCTGCGTTTTAGGACTCAGTTTTGAGACGTCCGAAGTATTTGGAAACTGATTCACTCAAAGCTAATTAAACACCCCTCGTTAACCGCATAATAATTATTTAGAAGTTATTTCTAAAACTTGGGGAGTGTTTTGAACGCTCAATTTGTCGAGAAAAAATTATTACCGAACGATTTTTGTAATATTACCAGAATTGTGATACTCGAACCCTTATGAACGCTTTTTCAGCACTGCCTTTTGTTATTAAGTGGAACCATTAATTATTTAATGATCGATACCTTTCGAGTTTATTCTAGAGTGCTCAAAATCCTAGAAGTACTCAAAATTAATCTGTTTTTTTTTCGATTATAGTTTTTATCCGTCGTTTTTCATTACTTTGGTTTTCATTGCCGAAATTAGTGTCACTGCTACCATTTTATCTGAAGACCGTTATTTGCATCAAAAGTGCTTTTTATACAGAGCGCATATCTTTTTCAGATAAAAATATGGAACTCATACCCTTTTGGGAGCCAGATCTAGGCTGTAACATCACAGACAAACTCTGGTTTGTTATCCACAGTGACTCTGAAAGTGGGCCTGGAATGAGAACTGGACATGGAAGTGTGATTGTGGATTGTTCTCTATTGGTCTCTTGTGGAGCTAATCCAGACGGAACCTTTTCAGGGAGAAAAAAATTCCAGCAAAATTAACTTTTGGCTTATTCTAGCGAACCGAACCGTCTTTGAAAATGGGGAGGGAACTTTGTATTCGGGTGTGTTTTAGTCTTTTTTTTCCACGTAAAATCAGGTACCACAAATAATGAGAACACTGGGTTGAGTGGTATTTCATATACAAGCACTTTCAGTCGTGACTCGAACCACATCAAAAATTTTCAAAAACTTTTCCCATTGGTGAGAAAAACCCGTTTGAAATTTTTCGTCTTAATTCGAGCGAATAAAGCAAGCGAGCAGGCTTACTACAACTTAATTAGAAGAAATTTAAAATTGAAGCCCTAAAAACTTAATTTTAAGCAAGTAAAATAATTGTTTGAGTTTTTTTTAGCTCCAATCTGAGAATCAAAGTCTTCGAAATAATTGGCAAATTTTCTGCAAAAAAAAATGAAAATTTTTTTTAAAGTCTTTTGATTTTTTTGTTTTTGTTTTTCTAGCCAATTTTCTAGAAAATGTTTGCGTCTTATTTGCCTGTGTTACTATAAGTTTCAAACATGCCTAAAATAGTTTTACAGGATTATTTTTTATCACCTCACGCAGAAAAACTAAATTGAAAAAAAAGCTTGACGTGTAATTTTTTTGAAGACTGGTCGGAACATTCTAGGCTACTTGCACAATAACCGGCTATCCTTGTTGTTAGTTCAGCTAGCCATAAATTTGAACTGCAAAAATAATTGCGATTTTTTTCTAGGTGAATTATTAGAATTTATTTGACCGTTTTTGACTGATCGGATTCTTTTTTTGGGTGTATCAGAATGAAGAAATGACTATCCTTTCTGAAGGAGTTTTTTTAAAAAAAAAAAGATGTTTTCATAGTGCAAGTGATGGTTTTCGTAGTAGAATTGAACGCATACGAATTTTCAAAATTGTCTTTAAATCATTTTTTTGTGAAATTCTGCGGGCAAATCAAATATCGTAGGTGATTTTGCTTGAATTTCGTAAATTTCTTACAGATTTGGTCGAATTCGATTTCCGACAAAACAAATGGAAAAAATATTCCATCAAAAATCTAATTGGACGATACGAACACACAATGCTAACCTCTAATTTCGACCCAGAGTCTGTTTTCTTATTTGCGGGTTGCACAGAAACGGGAAATTCGAACGATCTAATTTCAGTTAATCTTAGAAAACTGCCACTAGAAGCAAAAATAGTTGAAACTTCAGGCCCAAAACCCTCTCCTAGAACATTTAGCTCAACGAGTGCGTGTGATGGCGACAAATTTTTTGTTTTTGGAGGGGGTTTGGAAACGTCAAAAGCAACAGATGATGTTAACGTGTACTGCTTGTCGGTTAAAGAAATGGAGTGGAAAAAGTTGAAAAACGCAGGAGTTGTGCCGACTCCTAGACAAGGTCATTCTTTATCACTTCTGAACGATAAATTAGTTTGCTTTGGAGGCATGAACGCCGGGCAATTTTACTCGGATGTTTTTGTATACGACTTGACTTCAGAATCGTGGCAGAAAATGAAGCCGAAAGGGTCTTTGCCTTGCCCTAGAGCAGCCCACGCTAGTTGTGTCGTTGGCGAGAAAATTATAATAAACGGAGGACTTTGTTTAGACGCTGGAGGTTCGTTGCAAGACATGTACATACTAAATACTTCTAATTTCAAGTGGCAATTAGTAAATATAAATGGACCTTTGCCAGGTAATAGATTAGGTCATTGTATACTACCGTTGCCGGATAAATGTTTGAAATGTTATGAACCGTCTTCGACCGAAAGCACAAGTTCTGCTAATCGAACAGCCGACGAGAATAAAGAAAACGAGCAGTCAAAAGGACCAACAATACTAGACGTTACAGGACAGTTAGCCGAACAGGTAACTAGGCCGACAGGCGATTCGACCGACGATACAAATGAGCCAAATGAAAACGGAGATAATACGCAAACGTCTGCTGCTAAGTCGAATTTGGAGGATTCGAAAACGTATCCAGTTGAGAAAAGCGATTTGAAAAGTATTTCGAAAGAAGAATTAGATATTACGAAGTTCGTAGTTTTCGGCGGTTTGGATACTAGTGGTCTGATATTTGATGATACATTTGTGGTTAAGCTTCTATAGATGTACTTGTTAATCTGTAAAAAAAAAGTGTAAATAGAGTCTGGAAAGAAATTTCTTCGGTTGTTCAGAAAAGCTCGTTTCAGCTAGAAAACAAAGTGAGGTTTTCTTGATTTAGATTTCTCAAAAAAATAGCATGGTAATCCGGATTTCCAGACCTGGGATAGCTTTATCCAAAAAGTGTCGATCGTACAAGTTGAAATTGGTAGAGCTCTCAGAAGTTTCATTAAGTAGTTTCTATCAAGTGATTGTTTTTTTGTCGCTCCTAACACATCTAATTGTTTGTCATCGGTCTCATTTGTTTCATTGAACGAAGTGAAGCCACGTTTTGGTCCGACCACTAAGTGGGGAGGGGGAGGACTTTGTCTTCGGATGTGTTTTTAGTCTGGTAACACAAATAGTCATCGGAATGGGTCAAGCGACATATCATATAAAAACATTTTCAGTGCTGATTCGAATATTCAAACCTTTTCAGTATTCCCAATGTCGAGAAAAATTGATTTAAAAATAAGAATATAATAAATTGTTTCCAAAAAATCTAACATTTCTTCACTTTTGATGTTTTCTTTTTACAAAATGCAGCTCATTTTAGTAGAGCGCCATAGACACATTTTCTGTTTTCAGGTGACTTGCGTATAGCCAATTTCAAATTTTTGTGTTAAAATCTTACAATTTTTATACAGAATTTCATTTACAAAAAAAAAATTTTTGTAGAAGTTTTACAATTTTTATACACAATTTTATTTTACTTTTACTTATTTTATATTATTTGATGTGTATATTGATTTACAAACCAGTTTTTCTTCTGGATGTCATTGGGTTGATTAAAGTTTAATAAATGGAAATAGTAAATAAAAATTGTTTACTTTTATATATGTATGCAAATTTTAAAATATAATTCAGATTTTAGTTTAATATAATATTTTGAATCGAGCAAAAAATTAGGCATAGCTGCTTGGAGTGTTTTTGAAATATGCATTAATTTGTTCATCAGTACCTTAAAGGTTATTATCTAAAAATATGTGGTTGCACCTGTCCAACTCAGTATGATTAGCGTGTTGTAAAAAAAACTTGGAAAATCTGAGCTATAGGAGGACATACAAATGAAAAGTCTTCATATCCTAGCCCAAAATGAAAATTTCGAATGCTTATTGCAACCAATGATATTTTTTTTGAGTTTTCAGCTTCTGTGTTTTGATTTTAATAATTTCAGCATGGCTGATATAATTATTTATGAATTCTGAAAATTATGAATTCTGAAGGGCATTCTTTTCTCAACACTACCTAATAATTTCAGTAGTTCATAAAATGGGATTTCCTTAACGGTATGAAGTAGTTTTTGATTGCTAACTTGTTTAATTGATTGATTGCATTTCTTGAAATAGCAATATTCTTATAAACAATTAATAGTATTTCCAATCAATTTAATTTGCTTATCTTTAGCAGCATAAACAAGTATCGCCCTGCCTGTTTCGTACACTTTTATCAATTGATTTGTTTTAACGCTTAATAAGTAAGATAACATCCCACAAAATTGGTTTAACCTATTTTGGACCTTGTTTACATGTCATTCCTTGCCTAATTTTTCATCACAGTAAAATACCAGATATCTAAAATTACTTGATTGCTCAGTACTTTTTTCTAATTTCTACTTTTGATTTTTTACTGCTTTTTTTCTTGAGAAGAACATTGTTTTTGTTTTGTCTGTGTTCAGTGTTATTTAATTGTCATCTACCCAATTAGTGACACCATTCAGAGCTTTTTGATAATTTTTCTCTTATGTTTTTTCTGTACTATAGTCTGTACTGCAGTATCATTACCGTAGAAATTTAATTTTGACTGGTCATTGTTACAAACAATATCATTAACGAAGAGAATGAATAAAAGAGGACTTAACGTGGATCCTTGTGGTACATCATGTTTGACTAACTGGGTGATAGATTTATTTGTTTTTTGACTCTGATTTCGACAAAACAAAGCAAGCGAGCAGACTTATAATAGGGTGATAAGCTTTTGTGCAAGCCTTGAAAACCCAGGTTTACTCCAGTAAAATAAGTTTTAGAAGTTTCTTTTAGCGCGTTCTTTGGAATAAAATGAAAAAATTTTAATCAAAAATTAAACGACAAACTTTTACAATCTTAAGTGACACTTAATGATTTTGAGCGAGAAAGTTTCTCATCACATCACGAACCATAAAAAATTAAAAATGTTATGGGCGAAACTCTGTGCTTGTACAGCAACCGCTTTCCCTCAATTAAGGCGAGTGGTTGGTTTTCAATAAAACGGCTTAAATTTTTTCACTCTCAAACGTATCATGTTGAGTTTTTATAGGATTAAATAGAGCTCGATTTCCAATATAACTCATTTTCCAATCTTGTACGTTGTTTGATTTATTAATACGTATCATTTTCCAATGCATTAAACCTAATTCAATCACCCTAAAAAAAACTACAGTAAAATGAGAAAACAAATAGGAATTTATTTTTCAGATTTCCCAGCTGAATATAAACTGAATTAAATAAACCAGTTTTCTCAAGCTGGGTTATTTTTTTGATCAAAAAAGGGGCCAATCTTGAATTTTTTTTTTGAAAGTCAAAGACCCTTAAGGTCTTTTTTTTTAAATTTCAAAGTCGACTTTTTCAAAAAATTAGTCTTGTTTTGTTTCTCTATCCTTGCTTTCATGGACGGAGCAGTACAACAGTGCCGGAGTACAACAGTGCCGAAAAAAATTAGTTCAACAGTGCCGAAAATATCAACAAATTTCAACAAATTAAGTGGGGCAATCAAAAATTAAACGGCGAACATATACAATCTTAAAAGACACTTAATGATTGAGCGGAAAAGTTTGCAATTTAGACGTTTTGGCGCCAAAATAATTGTTTAATTTGCAGTTGCAGACCTTTTGGCGTCAAAATTGGAGTGATTTTTTTTTGATAATTAGCGTCAGTAATTTCCCGCTCTGTAGAAAATGCGTTTAAATTATTCTGAAGTTTTCCCGCCTTTTTCGGCACTGCTGTACTTCGGCACTGGAACGCGGTCTGTATTTAGACAACCGCGTATTGATACTCGTCAGCAAGCAGACAAATACAGTATTAACCAATCAGAATCGAGATGGGAAAGCGAACTTTCGAAATAAATATTTATTGTTTATTAATTTCTTCCTTGTCTCGATTTTGATTGGTTGAAACAGCATTTGTCTGCTTACTGACGAGTAGGAATACGCGGTTGTCTAAATACTGCTACGGAACATCGGCACTGTTGAACGCCCTCTCATGGCTGTCTGTTGGCTATATTTGTTTTACCTGTGGGTGCTACTTTTTGGGATAAATGTCACTAATATCTCACAAAATCTGTGACCTTGCCCTTTCCATTTTCCAAATTAGACATCCATATCAGAGATACATTATCGTCACTTATCTGTAAAGTTTGCATTTGTATTTCGTGTTTCTGTCTGAAAAATACGGTTGAGTGCCGAGACCTTGTAAAGATGTCATAGTTTTCGCGGTCTTATAATCTGTTCGAGTTCGGCAGGACGGAAGCTTATCTCTACTTCATATTAACCGCTTTTGGATAAGTTCTTAATGATTTGCTCGACCCTTTTTGCTATCAATTCTATCTATGGCTTATATTAATTCGGAGCGTTTTTTAATTTAAAGGTTTGAAAATTCAAATTGAGCGTTGAACGTATCTGTTAGATGTGATTGAAATAAAATTTCGATTCCTCCTCATTAAGGGTTTGTCAGGCGTGTTATGAAGAGCTAAAAGCATGTTAAATTTAAACAAATTTTGTTGAAGTGTACATGTGTTTTTTTTTAATTCTGTGTGTCCATAGAATGGTATTTGTGAGGCCTGTTGTTTGCATTAATTCGTATGATCTTTTCAGATAACTTGTGATCTTTTCCCTGATGCCTGGTAAAAAGGGAAAGAGCAAACAGTCAAATACCATCAGTCTTGATGAGTTCATTGCCAAAACTGCTCCAGAACAGGTAACGATTTTATTATCAAGTGCAGGGTTGTATTGTTTTTAACACCCCCTGTTAATTATGTTCATAGCAGTTAATAGCGTTAAAAACGTCATTTACCTGGAAGGAGTGTTAGTAATGTATACCTGATCAAGTTTAAATTATGGGTAATTTTATCAAGTGTTTAAAAAAAAGTGCCAATTATAAAAAGTATTCTCAAATTGCTTTAACATGATATATATTTTTTGCAAAATCCCAAAGTTCAGAAATGTCCAAAAATTTTTAATCATTTTTTTGCTGTTTCCGTGTTCTTCTACACGTTTTCAACCCTCTGTTAGCTATGATTTTGATTTGAGACGAACTCTCACTGAGTCTAAATTCATCAGTTCATAATTTCCACATGTTGTTTTTGAAGGTGTGCATTTTGAGTTAGCTCACGGTCTATTCCTAACTTTCATTCAATGCTGAATTTTACTGTTTCCAACCAATTGATTTCAGTCATATGATCTTCTTATCTTTTTCGCGATAAGAATCCGGATTTTCCTGCTTTTGATCTGAATAAGTTGAAAATATTTCATTGCACCCCGAGTTAAAGGAACAGCGTACGAGCTGTTTATCTCAACTCTTACAGAAAAACCACTTTTCTGCCACTGGCAAGTAATTACATGCAATTTTTTTTGGCTACTTGCTGGGCTGAGAATGTTGCTTAATCCTCAGGCGCAGCGACCGCATATTGTGGGGCTCGAACCACGGACCTTTCATCTGTCAGGCGAAGTTCTCCGCCACTTCTCTACATTGCTTCATGGTTTACAAATTTTGGTGTGTATATTCTATAGGTGAATGCCATCTCTCTTGCTCCCAATGTGGCAGCTGGACTGGGTGGGGGCATGGGATCATGGGCGGATGAGCCGTTCGATGCCAGAGGGGGAGAGAGTGAGTAAAAAATAGTTTGAAGTTCGAATTATTTAGTGAGCACATTTATGCAGTCATTAGATTTAGATACTCGCAGGGATCGAGCTCACGGGCCCTAAGGCCCCTCGAGACGTCCCATTAGGTAGACTTTTACAGAATAAGTTGAGGAGAAAGTTTATTATCAATGCAATCGACAGGGAGCTTATCTCATCGCAGCAAATCAAACGTTCCGAACTTTTTGACCAATCAAAGTCGTTAAAACGGTCTGTCCGAAACTGACTAATTTTAAAGCTTTTAAAAAATTTATTCTTTCGTTTTTCTAACAAATCTTAAATGTTGAATTGGCTCTTTTTCCTCCCCCCCCCCCCCCCCACCTCACACGAGCTTCAATATATTAGTGTAACGAGTGGTTTTACGAGGTTGAGTATGAAGACCAAATATGTTTGTCGTGGCCTTATTGAATGTAAATTTTCATAACAATCGGATAATGTCGTCAACAAATTTACATGTAAAAAATTGCAGGTGGGGGAGGGGGGTAGGAAAAAGAGCCGTTGAATTGCATTGCAGGACCCTCGTGGGAGCGTAGAGGGGGAGAGAGTGAGTAAAAAATACGGTCTGTCCGAAACTTACTGAACGAGTCTGTCCGAAACTCACTAATTTTAAAGCTTTTTAAAAATTTATTCTTTTGTTTTTCTAACAACTCTTTTCTAACAGCTGTTTTTCTAAATGTTGAATTGCATTGCAGGACCCTCGTGGGAGCGTAGAGACAGATCCCCCAACAGTAACTTCACAAGAGGGGGAGGGGGAGTGAATCTTGGAGAGGGTCCAGACTTCTCCAAAGTGCCAGATGAGCCCCCCTACAAGGCATTCGTGACCAATGTGTCGTACAATGCAACCAGAGAAGACTTGAAGCAACACTTCGGAGACGACGTGAGTTGCGAATAGTTATAACTGTTTTCATTAGTTTTGAGGGGTCATTAAGAGTTTTTAAAAGTTTTAAGTTCACGAAAAATGTGATCAACTTCTAATTTCGAAAATGGATTATAATTATCAGTTTCCCTGTGAAAAAGTTTAGCTATTGATCGAGTTGGGTTAGTTTTTTCAAAAAAGTCAACATTCTTCTAAAAATTCAAAGAGATTTAAGGCCGTCTATTGTTTTCTTTGAAATTTGGGATTTTTTCATGGAACAAATAAGTGTTTTTTTTTCTTTTTACTTGCGTGCATGGACTCTTGTCTAACTTTTTGTTGGCTTTGTTTATTCTATATTTACACTTGCGATTAGCGTAGCGTATTACTACGTACCTCTTTTTTTGTAACCTAACTCTCAAAAAAGTGTTCATTGAAAGTGTTCACTTAAATGAAAATTTCACTGTAGCATCGGAAATTGCATGGCATCTGTTTTTGTTTTATGTGGCTTGTGTTTGTCATCATTTAAGCGTCCTGACTGAGTGGTTAGTGCGTGAGGTTCATAATCTCTAGATCGGAGTAGGTCGTAGGTTTGAATCTGAGACGTATCCAAATTGTTTGCTAATTCGAGGCTTATTTCTACTTTTTCTTACTGCACTTTATAAAGAGCTGCTTTTTGTCGTGTTCTCGCTAGTGTTTGTGAAGCGCAGCTTCGCCTCTGTTTAAACTCTAATTTTCAGGAGCTATGAAACGAAAGTTAAGTTTTTGGCTTAACCTTTCGAGAGTATTTATTTTCGATGTCCTGATTTTTTGGTAAAATTATTTCATCAAATTTGGAAAAAATAAGGTGATATCGTGATCTTATCCCGATGTCAGTAAATTGTGAAAGAGGAACGTGAAATATGTCTCAATATTAAAATTTAAAAGAATATTGTTTATCGCGTTATTTAGTTGCATAGATGGAATAAATTCTTGACATAATACTTGTCCAGTTTTTTCTTTGTATCAATAGTAAATTTCCACTTGATTCGAGAAAAACAAACAATAATATTTACTCTTCCCTCTTCCACATAATTTGAATTATCTCTTCCACATACTGTATCTTGCGACCTATTTCTAATCCATTTAAAAAGAGCAATAATTTTAAGTAATAAAAACGATATATTAAGAAAAGACTTGCTATAGCTTCGTTCAAACAGTAATAAATAATCATTGGATTGAACGAAACACTGTGCTACTCATGATAATAACGACTAATTGAATGAAGAGAAGAGACTTCTTAAGTTTGTGTGGGTTTTTTTGTTTCGTTTCGTTTTCAAAATCCTAAATCGTCAAGCTCTAATTGGATTTTTGTCGGTTTTTGTTCTGGATTGTTTTTAAGTTTACTCCAAATTCATTTGCTAAATGACAAGGAACTTGCGGTTTTCGAGAACGAAAAATCAATTACTGGAAAAAAAACGTGAACGACGTTACCCGGTTACCATACTTTTTTCCGTAAATAAAATTGTTCGCAGGATGATTCAAATCGGTTGTCATTTCCAAATCTGTATTCGTTACTTGCACAAATTTAGAAAATATCGAAAATAGTTTTTTGTTCATGTTGGTTGTAAATACTTATAATCCGATTTCAGTGAAATAATTTTCTTGTTATACTTTCTCTTTTTTCGGCTTGAAAGGTTTCGGCTTAGATTTTATAGGCTGACCGACCTCATTTGAGGGAGACGTAAAAAGTTTAAGACAAAATTATTTTTGAAATTTTTTCCTGCGTCTGTTGTCTCTTTAGTTTAAACAGTTGGTGGTGTTATGCTATGTTTGCTTTGTATCGCGATTGGTGCGAAGCTTCGATTCGCCTCCGTTTCTCCAATTGGTCTAATTTCAACACCAAAAATATATTCAAAAAGCTTCAAGGTTTTTTAAATTTTTCTTTCTATTTCGAAAACTATCCTTTTGGTGTCCCTCAATTTATTGGCACTTATCAAACTATTTGTTTTTAATTTTAGATCAAAAGCATTTACATGATCAACAATGAAGACGGCAACTTCAAGGGATCCGCCAATATCGAGTTCTTCGCACGGGAGAGTCTCGTACAAGCACTTCACCTTCACGCATCAGTGAGTCATTACTTATTTAAGTTTTTCAGAGAAAAACAAGCCGAAAGAAAGAAAAAAGGAAGAAAGAATTATTAAAAGAAGAATTTATTTTTCTATCAAGATTATTCGTAACATCCATCAAAATTTTTTGTGTAAATGTCATTGGACATGAAATTAGACGTAATAGAAAATGAAAAAGGCACAAAAAATTTCCATTGCAAGCCTACCGCATTAGCAAGTATTTTATCCCAAACTTCAAATCATAAGTTGACAATCTATTAAAAGTTATAAGAATAAGTTGATGATGAGTTAATTACATTACTCAATGATTACTGTTCGTTCAATTGAACAAAGGTACCAAATGACTTAAGCTTTGCGGGATAGGTTCGTACTGCTTCAACTTATTTTGTTTAAGCTATTCAAAAAAGCGTCTTAAAGTTTGTCAGAGCCATTCGTTTTCTTTTATTTTTGTTCATTTTTGCATGATAGGGATCTACTTACTCGAATATAAAGAAAACATATAAATTAGTTCAAGTTTAAAAACCAGGTGAAATACATTTAATATTGAACAGCTTTACAATTCTAATCGTTTGTATAGAATATGTTGGGGCGCACAATACGTGTTGAAGTGTCAACCAGTCAAGGCCGAAGTAGAAACGACAGAGACAGAATGAACAACTCAGACAGAGACAGAGACACTTACGGCGGTAGAGGTCAAAGGTCAGACAATCCACTCTCTGGTGCTCCCCCGGCCGATATACCGGATGACAGTTGGACCAGAGGACAGGACTTCAGAAAACCAACCAGCGACCGGGCATCTTATCAAGGTGAGAATTTAACCTATTTTTGAAGAGAAAGAATTGGTATGCACAAATATTTTTTTACCTAGTTAACATTCTCATTCATAAAGCGATTTACGGGGGAGGATGTTAATTTTCTTCAAAGCTGGATTTTTCAGCCAATCAGAATCAAGCGTTTTACGAGCAGCGCTGCGCTATTTTATTCCAAATTAAATGTTGGGGAGGAAGATCGTAACTTGGTTTAGTTCGAGGGGGTCTAGGACAACAAGCCGACGGGGCCTCAAGCCGAAGGGACTTCAAGTCGAAATTAAAACTTTACAAGCACCCCAAAACGCTATTTTATCATCTGCAAAATGTTGCTTTTCTAAAATTTTGGCAAGTTAAGTCCATAATAAGCGTTATTCATGACAATGCACCACTTGTGATTCGCATCCGTTAATAACATCAGCCGGTTTTTGAAATGCATAAGTTATTAACATGAAAAATGCCTTCAACCATGTTTTACTTTTCAACTTTCCGGAACATCATTTGGAGGCTTAAATTATAAGCAAACGCCAATAACTAGTGAAGAAAGATCATGAAATTCAGAAATTCTTCAAAAAAGTTTTCAAATTGTTTATATTTCACGACTTTATAAGGAATTATTCGGCTTGAAGTCCCTAATTTTCAGAGGGGAGGGATGTTAACGTGATCCGTTTTTAAACCTAAAACTCTATAAAAAATTATGAGGAGGAATTACTGGAACAATTGACTTCAGTGTAGCAATAGCTAACTTAAAAAACTGGAAAAACAAAAGAAATTTCAAAAAATTGTTCAAAAAGAAAGTTTGATGCAGTATGTTTGATTTTTCTTCCCAAAAAAGCGCTAAATGAAGCTTTAGAAGCTAAATTTTTGGAGGAAAACTAAGTTTTCACGGCTCGTCCTTTTGAAGCACCTACTCGCTCGAAATGAATTTCGCGATCCCAATTTTTCTAATACTGAGAAATTGAAAAAAAATCTAATGGTATTCGACTCATGACTGAAAAGGCTTTCATATGATGTAGATTTTTGATGGTTATTTGAGGTTCCTTTTTGTGTTGAAAAAGTAAAAAAAAACTAAAACATTTCGGAAGGCAAGCGTTTCGACACTTTCAGTGGTCTGAACAATTAGTAAGCTATGAATTGTGTCATGTCGCTTTTCAGACAGAGGAGGTCGCGACAACTTCGACCGGGACGGTGGTGGTGGTGGGGGAGGCAGTGACAGCAACAGATATGTCCCCCCAATCAGACGGGGAGGAGACAGAGACACTGCAGCCAATCACAACAGTAGCAACAATAACACCTCTTCCTCAGCCTACAGACCCCCAGCATTGTCTAATTATTCCAACGACAGGTCAGTACATTTTCATTGTGTAAATTGTTAGAATAATCTAGCAAAATTTGTTTTTCCGAGGTTTTTATTTGTGTATTGTAAACGACCTATCGTATTAGAGCGTCGATTCCTTTGAATTTTTGTTCCCTGTTCCGATAAATTGATAGTGAAAGTATTTTTTTGCAAATTGTTTCATGACTAATTAATAGTAATAACAATAATTCTATTGAGGGTTGAGCCATTATTTACACAAGCAAAGATTGTGTTATAGTATGAACTTGCATTTTTTCAACCTAAGTCGCAAATATTGTTGCGACGCAAATATTGTTGCGACAAAATGTGTTCATTTTAAAAGCGTTCATTTTGATCAAAAACCAGCTATTAAGTGCGACCAATGCTAAGGATATTAACACAGAAGATTATAATGCAAATAGCACTTAAGATTCAAGGTATCATTGATCTGTAGCGTAGAGGTAGGGAAGGATACCAGGAACAAAAGAAAAGGGTTCGAACCCGGGCAGGGTCGAATGCTTTTAATGGACTTTTTTGTATATTAGTTAAAATGCGTCCGCTCTATAAATTGAGGCATGTTAGTTGGTAATTTTTTTTCAAATTGACTGGTGCTGCTTATGCGTCATAATTGGCTGGCGTTACTTAGCAATTTTGTAGACTCATAATTGGAGTGTGTCATTTAAGAAAGTTTTATGACTCAAAGTTTCACTCACTCAGTTTTTCGCAGTACCGTTATTGGTCGTATTTTTGCTTGTGTATCCGAAGCGCAACGTCGCCTCTGTGTTAAATATTCAATAGCAGAATGAAGCATAATGGTTATCCTTTAGTTAATAGTGAGCACTAAATCGATGTTTTTTTGCACTTTTTTGGATTCCCGTTTCCCGCACAAATTCTGGCTTTTCGTTTTAGTATTGCTCCATACGAATCAAAGCAGAGTTTGCCGGATTTGTTTTTTTTTCCGGTTTAGTTCAAGAAGTCGTTAGTTTTAGTGCTACTTTTGTTGGCACTTGTGGAGGAAGCTGCTTCGGCAGTGTAATCAATTAGTAATAACTTGGCATAAGTTAATCCATTTTGATTCATCAAATGAACCAAAAAAGCTATTTGTTTCAAAGAACAGTGCAATAATAAAAACTCAATTTATTACATGCAAAGTGAGTGTGGAAACCTTCAGTTAATTATACTCCTAATTAATACATCAAAAGTTGCGTCTATTTAATTTGGTGCGATTTTTGCTGTTTAGCATTGGCAATTTATTAGCAGTTGTGGCTGACTTTTTGGTGGCTGAGGTGAGTTAACTTTGAGCACCCGTGCCGAAGATCTAGGACGTGCGACTCCAAATCTCCTGGTCGTAGGTTTGAATCTGTCACAGCGAAAGATTATTTCCAAGGCTTATTTTTACTTATTCTTTTCTCTAGCTTTTGTCGTTTTCTCGTTTGTTTGCGAAGCACAGCTTTGCCTCTACGTTGAAATTCCTTGCCCTTCCAAGTTTGACTGGCTTCGATTACCAATAAAACTTCGTGCATTAAGCTGAAACATTAAGGTTTGATTCGTGCCCCAAAAGGAAACCAATGTAAACTGTTCATGAAATCGGTCGCGCAGGTACCTTTGCTAAGACAACAAGCATAACTAATTGGCACTATGGCGTGCACGAGCTAGCTTCAGCATCAAGTTTTTGCTGACGTTCCATGTCAACGATTTGGCATAATCCAAGTTAGTATAAAACTGTGTATAACAGCATGTTAATGGCTTAACTGAATCGAGTTTTTGAAGTTGTATGTAAATAGAACGGCACAAATTGTCAATTTGGTATGCAAACGTCAAATTTCAATCTATTTAGAAGCCCAATGATTCAATTTTTATCTCTATTGAAAAGACACTCTCCCATGATATTGATAGATTTCTCCCATGATATTGATAGATTTCTCCGTCGACATCTTGCTGTTTTTCATGAAGACAATAACACTTGCTTTTAGCTTCATTCATTTAGAGACTAAGTTCGGCACAAATTCGGTGCAGTCATTTGCGCACGTCATTCATTTTCAGAAGATTCACGTCGCTATTGAAAGGAAAAATATGTGACCATCTTTGTCATAGAAGTGGTACTCGTCCTAAATCATTTACTGGTAAACCGATCTTTGGTGAACACCAGCGTTGTGAATGATTTCATAGTAGTATTAATGAAATAACAAGAAAACACCGTGAGTTCAAAATTATGAAGGGTTAAATTAGTGCTAGTGTTTAATATTTCGAAGAGACAATTTTTGAAATTGGTTTTTTAAGATACCATTAGTTTTCTTACGTATTGTTATAACGATTCGATGAACGTAGTGCAGACTCTCATATAGGTGCTGATCTGTTTTTCTTGCTTTTTTTTGGAAAAAGTCCTCAATTACCTGAAGCTCAGTTTCTTTTTCGCAGACTTTTTTGTTGCAGTTCATTTCCTTTCTTAAAAGGAAGGGAAATTCCACTATCGAACAGCAAAAGTGTAAATGTTACGAAAAAATAGGGCATCAATTTATTGCTTTAAATTTCGAAAACTAGTTTTAAAAAAAATTTTCTGTTGGGTATTAACATATTAACAAGGCATTAATGTTTGACTGTCTATTTAGGTATTCCAATGACCGTGACAACAGAAACAACTCATCTCGGTTCGACAGCTCTCGCAACAACTACGACAGCAGGGACTCCCGAGGAGGGGGCGGCGGCTACGAGAGATACGACAGAAGAGTACCTGAAGATCCTGCAAGGTCAGAAACACAACCACGTGAACTATCTGCCCTCTTAATCAATTTAGGGAGGAAACCAATGACATTTTTTGAAAACAATAAGAATATTTTGCATATTGCCTCCTACTCCAACGTTAAATTTTAGGGGGTAGGGCGATGAAAGTTTGGACCCTCTGAACAATTGTACCATATTTTACTCATAAGCAAGTGTGTTGATTGCAATTGGGTATTAGATTTTTACCCGTAAAGTTTTAGTTCTCAGGATTCTTCTCTTGAGGGTCTCGGACGTCCAAATCTTTCAAATTTACTGCAACATACCTTTTTGGAGAATTTTTTTTCTACTTTAAATAACTATTTGGTTCGAAGTTTGTTTTTGTGAAGTTACAAACACCAAATTGGAAAATTTTCCTGATCAATGTTTTTGTTAGCTTAAACCGTATTTTGACTTTTATTATATTGGCTTTGACATCAAGTTACTTCTGGCTTCGACAGCCATACTATATCGTTACGTGTCAATGAACTAAGTGAAGGCAGTTATAGGCTTATAATCAACTATAGTACATTTTCAGGATTAATGGATGTAGTGACGACTCTTATATAGGTCTTGGAGATTTTTTGTTTCTTTTTTTTCAGGAAAAATTCTTAAAATGCTCTAATAACAACAGATGTGCATTCATCCATGTTAATGCATTTAATGCACTTTGGTCTACAGTGCTGATTTAAATTAACCGGACAAAACGCGTTAAACTTGAAATTTAAAACGCGTTTTTCTCAAATTGGGTTGAGCTTAAGTGAAAACTCATGAAGACAAAACTTGCTTAAAATTTCAGCAGAATCAATATGGTGAAATTTGTTTTTGCAAAATTCGCGCTCAAAGTTTTACCCCAAATATGGGTCATTTTGGTTTTTCTTAGTTAATCAAAAATTACGCCAAAAGTACCCAGTCGATAACAGACTCAATTATATCAAAGTGAGCCCCTTACGTAGCACAACAAACTTTAAGAAGGATATATTCTCCAAAACATTGTATATGTTAATATATTTTTGTTTGATAGACAAAAAAAGGTCATTTTTACTATATAAAATACCAACTTTTTATTTAAAAACAATTTTTAAACAATTTTTTTGGAGATTATTTCCTTCTTAAAGTTTGTTGGGTTACGTAAGGGGCGCACTATGATATAAATATGTCTGTGATTGACTGGGTACTTTCGGCGTAATTTTTGATGACCTAAGAAAAGCCAAAATGACCCATTTTTGGGGTAAAATTTCGGGCCCGAATTTCGGAAAACAAATTACACCATATTAATTCTGCTAAAATTTTAAGCAAGTTTGTATTCATAAAACTTCTCCGAAACTCAACCCAATTGGAGAAAAACGCGTTTTAATTTCCAAGTTTAACGCGTTTTGTCCGTTTAATTTAAATCAGCATTGTATATGCACATTTTGAGTTCAATTGAAATTCATCTGCTGAAATTTATGAAAATAGCACTCTCCAAATACGAACGTGGAAATAATGCGAAAACATGTGAACGATTTCTGGTTTCGAAAATGGAATATAATTTTTAGATTTTCAGCGGGTTGAAAACTTTATTTATTGATCCAGTTTTCTCAAGTTGGGTTAATGTTATCAAAAACGCGCCAATCATAATTTGCTCTAGAAATTCAAAGAGCTTGAAGGGCATCTATTTTTTTCTTTGAAGTTCGAAAATTGAGATTTTAACAAAGTCAGCGGTTTTTTTTCTGTTTACTTGCGTGCATTACTCTTTGCCAACAGTCAGTTGGCTATGGTAATCGATTAAAATCGATTTTTAATCCATCATTTTTTGATCCAATTAAAATCGATTATTTTTTATTATAATTGATTATTTTTCTCCCATTTTTTTATTCATATGTTGAACCCATAAAATACAATATAATCGATTATATTCGATTTTAATCGATTATAATCCCTTTTGTTTTCACATTGTGTCTTCTGTCTTGCACCTGAATAGTTTATATTTTATGCCTTTCTTAGACGTTGGTTTATGTGAAAAATCCGAAAATTGTTTTGAAAGTTTTCAAGTTATATATTTTTAAGTTTTTCATTTTATGATAGAAGTTGTTTTTTGATGAACATTTTATTTCCGGTCATGATCAGGATATTTCCGCTCTCCAATAAAAAATGGCCTAAAACTAACTTGGATCAGTTCACTTTCAAAGTCGAATTTTTTTCTGTAATTACCAGCGAATTAAAAAATAATCTATTGATCCACTTTTATCAGAACGATCAAGTATAAAGACGATGGAAATTTAATGAGCTCTAAATTAGTAAGTTTTCTTCTGGAAATTCGATATTTCTGTATTTTTTTATCAATGCTTTTCCAACTGTCTGGTGGCTTTTTTTGAAATTTGTCCCAAATGGTGCGAAATCCCGCTTCGCCTCTGTGTATACAAGATGAGTTGAAGTTGTGCTTTAGTATGAAAAAAAAAACTGTTTCATGCAGGAGGGTAAAAAAACATGCTAGTTTAACATGACAGGTGCGTAATTTTGTAAGTTATTGTTCAAATTACATTTTACTGGTTTTATTCAAAATGGTGAAAAATAAGTAACAATTTATAAAAAAAAACTTGTTTGCTTTTTGGATAGATACAATGACAGTTATGACAGTCGAAGACGGGGCCATAACTCAGGCGATAACTCGGACAGATATTACAACGACAGCAGCAGTGCTCCACGGAACAACAGGAACGGAGATGTATATGGGAGTGGATACGAAAGCAGAAACAGAAGAGAACGAGGCGACAGTTTTAGATCAGATTACGACCAGGAATCCTCGCGGAGAGATGATAGGTTTGTTATTTTTCGGGCAGCGAACTTTGGCCAATTTTGAAGTCAATTCAAGGTTAAAAATTGCACGGGGTATTTCGATATGATATTTTCCAAAGGGCAGACTACTTCGATTTTTTAAAATGATTCGGACGACTTTTTTGAGTATCTAGAACTAAGCGAAACAATATTTTCTCGTTTCAACTCATCTATAATTTCTCACGATGACATAGTAACGCTTATTTGAAATCTTCAGGGGAAAATGTTTTGTTTCTAGGTACTACGATGATCGAGCCCCTCCCGCGCCTCGCGATGGAAACTACCGTGACGCAAGTCCCCCACCGATGCGAAGTGGAAAATCGAATGAAAATCTAATGAACAGATCTGCAGAGCTCAACGACATTGAAGCACCTGCGCCTCCGACTCGGGAAAGAAACGACGATGATTATTATGATAGAAGCGTTGATAATTATACGAGTGGTGGACCCTTATCATCAAGGTCGAGTAATCAAGAAAACGGAGGAGTTGCAGGTGTTGCACGAGGTAGTGATCAAGTAACGCCTCCTTACAATTCTACAAATGACGACAGATATCCTTCAAGTTACCCAGACCGTAACAGGACTAACTCTCAAAGAAGTGGCGATAGTTACGGAGCTGAAGGAAGTAAATATACACTAGAAGGTAGTGATAGTGTTACAAATCGTGGCACGCCGAGAAATGGGGGCGGTTACAGTGATTATGAATCTAGTGATAGATATAATAATAATGCTAGTAGAAATAGATATAATAACGAGCCCCCTGAAAGGGGAACAAATAATGAACACGAAAGGCGCTACGAAAGGTACCAAAACGATATTGCTGCTCCGAGAGCAAACGATAGCAGACGCCGAACTGAAAGTGGAAGTGGATCGAATCTAGGCGGCGGCGGAGGTTACGACAGTCGCCGAAACGATTCGGGACGCGATGACTTCGGCGGTAACCGAGGTGGCGGGGGTTATCGCGACTACAATAGTTCTCGGGACGGTAATAGTCGAGGCGGCAGTTACGGCGGACCGGAACGAGGTGGGGGCTATCGAGAAAGGTCTGATCGGTACAACGACAACAGAGACAGTTATAGAGATACCAACAGGGGTTATGGCGGGGGGAGGGGTAGTGGTGGAGGCGGTTACAATCGCTCGGATCACTACGAGAGAAGGGACGATAACAGAAGGGGAGGTGATGGGATGCGTCGTGGTGGAGGGGGACCTTACTCTCCGAATAAACCCCCCTACAGTGACGAGAGAGATCGATACGACAGCTACAACAGCAGAACAAGCGGTAAGTAGTAGATTTTTTTGCGAAGTTTGTTTACTCCTTGTTCTAGTATTTGATTACGCTTGCGATCAGCAAGTGTTATCAAACTGGAGTATATATTTTTTGCTAATTATTAGCGGCTTGTTTTTTTCAGTATTAAGGAGATAGAAAAAAATCCGAGAAAAATGAATTGTTGTTTTTTTTTGTTTGTTAGCTCGTTTTGTCGGCTAAATTGCCAGAATGGATTTCACTTGTGCTGTAGAGAGTTTTCATTGTAGCTGCATGTGCAATTGCTGTTCATTCTAATTTTAGGGGGGACTTGAAAGATTTCTAAAAAAAATTCATGAAACCTTTATTTTCGGGTCAGTTGGTGTCTGCTCATAGAATGTCGGCTTAGTTGCCACTTTTTTACTTTTTTGATTTTTTGCTGTAAGCAACTTTCATTGTAGTTACAAATTCTGCTCAACTTTCATTGTGGAGTGCAAATTCTGCTCATTCTAGTTTCAAGGGGGACTTGAAATTTTTTTTTTAAAATCAAGAAATCGTTTTTTTTTTTCGTTTACTTGTTTTAGCTCAAAGATTGTTGGCTTAGTTACCAAATGACAGATTTTTCTTGTGTGGTAAGCAAATTTCATTGTAGTTGCAGGCGCAAGGGTTGTCCATTGTTGTTAAAGGTGGGACAACCTTAAGTCGCAAATATTATTTTTCCAAACGAAGTCGCAAATATTTTGCCGATTTTGGGCACCTTTACAGCTTTTTGACAGCACGTGCTTTGACATTCGAATAGTAATAAGTTAACACAGTTGATGCATTTTTAATTCATCAAATGAACCGAAAGAAGCTATTTATTTCAAACAACATTACACTAATGAAAACTCGATTTCAGAAATTTCTTACTCAAATTATCTCGCATTTTTTAGAAATGCATTATTTATACACAAAGTGGCTTTTTGCTTTGCAATTTATTACATGCGAAATTGTGTCTCTTTGTATTTGGTGCTAGTTTTGCTGCATCGAATTGACAATTTATTAGCATATAGAGCTACGTTATTGGTGGTTAGTTTTTGGGGGTTTTAAGCATCCGTGGCTGAGTGGTTAGCGCGTGAGACTCAAATTTATTAGGTCGCAGATTAGAATCCGACACATAGCCGAGTTTTTGCTAATTCGAAGCTTATGTCTACTCTTTTATGTCACTTGATAGAGCTGCTTTTTGATCTGTTCTCGCAAGTGTTTGCGAAGCGCAGCTTAGCCTCTGCGTGTTCATTGATATTTAAGGTGGGACTTTAAAAACTTGCACTCGCAATTATAGTTGCGAGTGCAAGTGCTGTTCATGCTAGTTTCAACGGGGGACTTGAAATATTTTTTAAAAAATCAAGAAATCATTTTTTAGGTTCTAGTGGTTTCATCTCAAAAATTGTTAGCTTAAATGGCAAATCAATGATTTTTTTAGTGCTGTTAACAAATTTCATTGTAGTTGCAGGGGCAGGTGTTGTCAATTGTTGTTTAAGGTGGAAATTCAAACTTTTAAAAATAAAATCATGTCTTTTTCGGCTCAACTTGTGTCTGCTCAAAAGATTGTAGGCTTTGTTTCTTTTCGTAAATTTGTTGCGTTGTTGCTGATTTAAAGTTCAAATGCCTTTTCGAATGTTTGCCTGCAATGAACTTGTATGGAGACATGAAAATTTCTTTTTTTTTGGTTTTTTATGTTTGTGTTGTATATCGCAAGTGGTTCTCCGCTTCGCTTTTGTGTTAAATGTCATTTTCCCTTAAAAATCCAGTCGCAGTTTTTTTCTGAGCAATTGACTGCGGAATTATTGAGATTTATTGAATTTTTTTGATGAATTTGGGGAATAAGTAATATTTGATTCATTAAAAAAGATCAGGATGTTCTTTTGACTATCCTGCTTTTGAATATTATGAATATTTTCATTGTGTTAATAAGGAATTTTTCTTTGTTTCGGTCGCGTTCATTTTGTTTCATTTTTTTCATAAAGGAAATGATGCAAAAACAGCGCTCGAATTAGTTTTTGTGAAAATCGAAGAGCTTTAATGTGATAAGTTTTTCGTCGTAACTAAAAAGCTGAAACAAACCGTCCTTAACGTTTTACTTGAGTTCAATGTCACTTTCTCAACTGTCTCTCGGCTATATTTCTTGATATGTTTCTCAGTATTTAATATTCAGAACAGTTAAATATACTTCTCCTTTATCAGATTCGGCCAGAGGCGCATCGGGACGTCCCCGTCTTGAACTGGACCCCCCTAGCCGGAAGACAACAGAGATTATAGTTCCCAAGGAAGCGGACGTGAGACCTGCCAGTATATTCGGGGCAGCCAAGCCAGTAGACACGATGAAAAGAGAGCAGGAGATTCTCGCCAGAAAGGAAAAAGGTCAGTGAGTTTAAGAAGACAAAAACAATGATTAAAATCAACCAAAAATACGGCAGAGTGGCAAAATCTTTTTTTTGTCATTTATAAAGCATCAATGTTTACATTTCAACTGAAAATAACTCGAAAACAGCTTTTTTTTTCTTTAAAAAAAGTATCATTACACAAGCCAGTGTAGTTTTTTTTAAATTGTGATAGTTAGAGAAGAACAACAATTTAGTTCTTTTAACAACTGTGACTGAGTTGCGAGATGGGTATTTCAATTATAAAGCTTCAATTTAAATTCCAACAGAAGAAAAGAGTCTATAAAACTGTATTTTTATGTTGTGGTAGAGGATAACAAAAGTGAGTTTGACTATGTTGAATTCTCAGTTTTTCCGAAATACAGATAGTATATTCACATTTTTTCAGATTTTTATATATTTGGCTATTGAAATTTTGGAAATTAACAAGTGGAAACAAACTGGGAGAGTTGCTGCTTCAAAAAAAACTTCATAATCTAATTTGACTTTATTTGTTAGCATCTATTTGTCCACGCAAGTTTTTAGTTGTCGAAAATTGTATTGATTGTTTTTCACAATGTCTGGTCTTTTTCAGCTACCAGTAAACTGCATGTGGACGTCGGAATCGGAAAAGGTAGCGGAGGCGGGGGATCGAACGCCTACCGACCCCCTCATGCACAAAGAAGTAACAACAGTAACAATAACACTACAGGACCACCGCCACAATCTAACCACAGTGGGACCCAATTGGATGCAATCTCCCCCGAAGTGAGTTTATTTTGATCGTTACTTATTTCATCAGCGAGGATTCTATAGAGGCATTAATGCCCATCAAGTAGAACCCTCAAATTAAAAATTAAGGACCAAGTAGAACGTCACCAAGTAGAACCCTGAAATTCACATTAACTTAACTGAATTTTTTTTTAATGTGACACAATTGGTATTTACCCAATTCCAAGCAAATTTGGCTAACATATACAATTTGGTCAAAATCATTTGCTCATAAGTAATTTTTTGATAATGGTTTATATCAAGACATTTATATAATGGATTTCTAATTTTTGCCCCTTGTTTTCAGAAGTCTTTACACTAGACAGCTCGTACGCGTAGCGTATTTGTACGCAGATTCTTTTTTTCCAGCCCAGCTCGCAAATAAAACTGCTCTTTTGATTGCACTTTTGCTCTAATTTTGAACTGTAGCATTGAAAAATTTCATAACATCTGTTCTCTGCTTTATTTATGGCTTGTGTTTGTGATTTGATAAGCGTTAGTGACTAGTGCGCGAGACTCTCAAGTTGGTTCGAATCCGAAAGGTAGACGAATTGTTATTTTTTTGAGGCTTATTCCTACTTTTTCTTAATTCACTTTATAGAGCTGCTTTTTTATCGTGTTCTCGCCAGTGTTTGCGAAGCGTAGCTTCACCTCTGTAATATTTGGCACGAGTGAAAACAAAATCGTTCAAGATCATGTATTGCCTGATTACATTTGAGTAGAGCGAGGGTACTGCAATCGTGTACTAGACTTTGTTCCAGTAAACAACTTTGTCCACAGGAATCATCTGGACTTGTGGTACCTTGGTTCATCATGAATTCAAATTTCTTAGTGTCGCCTGCACACTTAGCTTGGAGGTAACGATTATACCTGGGACGGCAAAGGTCTCGGGTTTGGGTTCGATTCTGACTAGGACCTGTTTTTTTGAAACAGTAAATGTTCGGTTCAAAAAATTCTGTTTATGTTGCAATTGCCAAATCTAAGAATCGTTTTTTTTTTAATGCTGTTAAAAATTTTAACTGTAGATGCTTTAAGTGTTTTAGTATTTTAAAAATCCGAGCGTCTCGAAATTTATTTTTAAATCTGGCTGTCTCAATTTGTCAAAAAGTCCTTTTTTCATTTTTCGTATTTTTTATCGGGTTATTTAGTTTCGGCCTAATTTATATCGACCTAGTGGCCTCGTATTGCGTCATTCGGGGATCGAAAAAAGTTCGTTTGTGTGCGTATGCTCTGAGGTTAAAAGGGACATAAATTTGTTTGTTAGGTTAGAATGTTTGAATTTTTTTGGCATGAAAGATTTCTGCTCAGGTAACTTCGGCTTTGTTACCGCATGGTAATTATAAATTCAAGTTCAATCAACCATCCGGCTCATCTGGCCTAGAGGTGGCTCAACTGCTCGAGACCGCTTTTTATTTAAAAATTTTTATTGACAATAACGAGTTTTTTTTCTTCAAATTTTTCCGTTTAATTTTAATCACATTTGTATCGCAAATTGTGCGAAGCTCAGCATCACCTCTGTTATAATTTGCTTCACTCAGATTTTTGTATTTTAACTGCAAATTTCACTTGTAAATTTTTACTGGAAGAAGCGGCTCTTCCATCGTTTCCATTACTTGTTTATTTAAAGAAAAGAACATTGCGCTCTCGAATCACAGTTTAAATGGATCGACAAAACGTGAATTACTTCTTCTTTCAAAATTGGTGATTAATTTTACCAGCTGACTAAAAAAAATTCCTGATCCAGTTTCTGATTGGCACTTTTCCTGCACAGAAGTGCCAATCATAATCCTCAATCTGGAAGTTAAACGATCTTTAAGATGATAAATTGTGTTTTTCGAATTTATCACTGAAAAGGTCCCAGAATTGAGAATACTGGTTCAATGGGTAAATTTTTTGTTCCACTGGGAAGTCGTATAATTAAAAAGTACTCTGGATTTTAGTTTTAAGGTTTCCTAGCGCTGTAAAAAAAATGTATTATGAATCAGTTTTCTCAAATTGGGTTAGGTTCATCATAAAAGAGTGAGAAATAAAAAATATTATTGATATTCAAAGAGGTTTGATCTTCGATCTTTTGATTTTTGGTGTATTTTTGAAGCTCGCTTTAGTTTTTTAGTGGAACAGATGGTGCGCAAAATGGAGCTCAAATGGATGTTTCAAAATTATATAATAGTTAAAACGAAAAATTTGAGTGCATAAACGTACATATATGCAGTTTTAGCACCAAAGACGATAACCTACAGGCAAATTATTCCTTTCACTGGTTACTCTATCTGAGAGAGATAGAAATTGATAACATTTTTTAATCGCACGCGTATGGCGAGACAAAATCCCAAATTTTTGTGTTCGTAATTACAAGCAGAAGCTAAATTCCCCTATCTTTCAATGATTTTTGAGCGAACTTTGTTTTGACTGGCTTTATATATAACAGGTTTTGAACACTTGATCTGGTTTCGCGGTTATTTGCGTTTTCATCAAAAAATTTTGAAAAGTACTGAGTTCAAACAAGCGTTTGATTTCAATGCAGTAGGAGATATTTGCTCAAGAAATATCTGAGACTAAACGAAAACCTACTAATTGTTCCGACTTTTGAGGAAAACGGAATAATTATGCTCGGTATGGTTTTTTATAGCCCATTAAAGATATCGACTTCCTGAGTTTAAATGTAAAAAGTTTGAGAATGGCCAAATTGGATATGTTCTGGACTAAATTGTGCGCGCTTTGAAGAATTTATTCATATTGCTGAGAGCCTAACGCGATATATTTATGCGTGGCGAATTATCCAGCACAAAAAATTGTTCCGAATTGAATTGAGGCTAGCTAATCGAATCGGTCGTTTAATTTTCATACGACTCAACATTTCACACTTTGATATTGTCCAAATTTATAGGTTTTCAAGATTTTCTTTTTTCCAAAAACTATTCGATATGAATTTAGGGATAGTCGGAACAATCAGGGCTTTGCCCTCATATACGAGCAGTCTTGTTTGGACCTTAAATTGGTTACCTTAAATTGGTGTTACATTAAATTGGTTTTAATTATGATAATTCACAGCGGAATAAAACAAATATATCTGTTGATCTAGTTGGTTTCAAATTGAGTTGGTTTTAAAGTGTCGATAAAATTTATTTGGAAATGAAAGAGCTCTTTAGTGATTAAATTGCTCTATGAAACTCGATAAAATATACTTTTCAGTCTTTTCTTTGGTATCCGTGGTTTCATTATGCCATTACAATCCTCCAATGGTCGTTTTTCCAAAAGATGTCTTTCCGTTGTTGTTAATAATTATTACGATTAAGCTTTAAATTCCCAATTTTATCTTAGGTAATTAAGGATATTTAATTGTTTCAGAATAAATTTTCAGTTCTAAATGCAGATGACGATGACGACTATTGATCTTGATTCATGGTTGACGTAAAAAAAACCCTGGAAAGCTCTCTTGAACCGACAAAACATTCTCCTTATAATATTCGACAACGCCTCAGACTCGAATTTGAAGTTAATTAAACGTCTTTTGACTATATAACTTTTCAAATTTTTTGCGAGAAGAACTTCGAAGTTGATAACTCTTGTTAAATAAAATTCAGGTTTTCTGTGAAAAACGGTGCAAGTTTGAACATAAAACCTGAACATAAGTGTCGTTTTGAGTAAATTTTTGAAAGTATTTAAATTCGATTTGTGAATTTAATTTTTTGGTTTTTGTTTAAAAAATTACTGAAGCCCATTTAGTGAACATTTATAAATTGATGCTAATTGATTGATGATTTCGTATTAATTTTTCCTTTTCTTAACTTCATTTATATTTATTGTATTTGTCATGGAATATAAAATTGATTTAAATTTTCAAATGCAATTCAATTATAGTAGTACTCCAAAATAAATTTGTCTAATTTGATGTTTGAATCTTTTGTGATAATCGGGCTTGTCATATTTTAAAACTGACAAAAATTTGAATTGCATTTAATTTTCTGTAACTAAAATTGAAAAAACTGTCTTGTCTCGTTTATATAAAAATGCATATATTTTGCGTAACTTGGATTTTTTTGCTCAATGCCTAAATTTTACATTGGTTCATTTAAATTTCAATTTAATCTTGTTCTCAAACTGTGCTGTTATTGTGGTGTTATTTTGATGTTGATTTTTTGTAAAACGTCGAAATAATGTTTTTTTTTCAAGCTTTGCCCAATATTTGGATATATTTTATTTCGACTGCTAATACTTATTATATTGTTTCCGGGAACCAATGCATACAAAATCACAAATTCTCATTGTGGAATGAGTTAACGAGTTCAGTCATTTTAGAAGTTGTTTGTTCGAAATTGTTTTCATAATTTGGACAAAAAGGTTTGAAAGCGCGACGCGACGTATTGGAACCCTTAAAATGTTTTGTTAACTGGATAAAACTTAAAACAGTGAAGTTTTGATTCATTATTTCTGTGTTGTTAGTGCAAGAAGAGTTAATGGTGATTTTCACGCGGTCCAAATCTACAATTGTCGCGATGGATTTAATCTAGCTTCGCTTTCGGTGAGGCTGTTTCTGCTATCGATTTAGTTTTGGTCATATTCAGATTGTTAAAACTAGGAAAACAACTCGTGTATTGTTAATTATATTAAAAATACAGTATTTTTATAAAATGTTTTCACCACAAAATCAAAGCTTTTTGATTGTTAGATTAAATAGCTGAGGTTGCTGTAACAGTATTCCCGATTTGAAATGTTAAAAAAATCGATAGTTCGATTGACATCTGAGCTTTTAAGTCCGGGTTACAGGGGCGCGAGGGGGGGATCAGAAAACGGAATATTTCTGCTCTGTAAGGTTTTTTTACTCAGTAAATTTTCGCCGATCTAAATAATAGTTTTCACCAAAAATTTTTTATACGCCTTTAAAGATATCGACTTCCTGAGTTCAACTGTAAGAAGACATTTTACTCCAATTCTTTTTGTAAATCTGGGGGTTTGAGAATGGCCAAATTGGACATGTTCGGGACTAAATTTGAAGTTCTGGACTTTGAAGAATTTATTCATATTGGTGAGAGCGAAACACGATTTATTTATGCGTGGCGGATTATCCCAAACAACAAAATCGTTGAAAAGAGACTAGCTAATTGGTCGTTTTAATTTCGTAACTTACATATTGGTATTGACACACTTTGATAGTTTCACACTTTGATATTTTCCAAAAGTTAAATGTGTTCATTATTTTCTTTTCCCAAAAAGTATTCGATATGAATAAAGAAAGAGTCGGAACATTCAGGGAACTGCCCTGATTTACCAGCAGAAACCTAATCCCGGTTTTGCCTCAAGATTAAAGGCAACCAATCATAACTAACTGCATAAGTTCAACAAGGAAAGCCGATATCTGTGCAAGAAGCACAGAATGTTCCGACATTGATAGTAAATCACTGAACTTTTTAAATTTATTTAAAGAATATGAACGTATTTTGTCTTTAATTGATTAGTCGGTCTTGAAATGATTAGTCTGTCTTGAAATGATTAATAAGATTTATATTTAATCAATTCCACCAAGTTTGCCCAGTTCTTATAATTTTGATTTCGTGTTTTTTTAAGTGCAATGATATCGATTGTATTTACATAGGGCTCTGGCACGAATTTTGTTTTAACGAGAACAAACTTGAGAATGAAGGTTTCAGATAACTCAATTTCTGAACTTTTTTCAGATATTAATTTGCAAAAAACATGGAATGAAGTTGAAGTAAAGTGTGACCAAATCAAGTCGAGTTAAACGCAAAACGATCAAACTGTCTCAATTTTTTATAAACTGCTGTTTTGAATACTAAGTGCTAAAAATGTATAATTTCGATTCTCCTAGTGTTTTTCAAGTGCTCAGTTTTGATTTTTGGTGGTTTGATGTTTGTCTGATTTCGTTTTAAATTCGGTTCATTTCTCTTGTTAAAAGGTAAGCAAACTCCTCTATCGATCGGAGAGCAAAGTTTGAAAGTCATGAAAAGCGTGCTCGACTTTTAGTTTCAAAAATGAATTTTAAGTTTCACTGCTTTAAGGACATTTGTTGTTTTCTTCAAAATTTGAAACTTGAGTTTTCTAAGAATAAGTCAGTTTTTTCTGTTTCCTTGACTTTATTACTGTCATCCAAATTTCAGTTTGCTTATTGTTTTTTGAATTAGTGTCGGGTTAACGCGCGGTTTCGTAGACAACTATTCAATTGCCCAGAAAGTTAGTCGATTGATTAGGCATAATCGACAACTTCTGTCTTCAAAAATTTAATGAAAACCTTAACGAAAATTTCTAAATTTATTATTTTGTTTTTTGTATCATCAACTTATCATAGCGTAAAAGTTTTCAGAAACTATTTCAGAAAACGATTGTTACTTGTCCGTTTTATTCTTTTGAACTAAAATTTTAAACCAGTTTCTCCTGACAGCGGGACAACTTTTTGAATTTTTGAAATGCCGTTCGAGTCCCGACTGAAAGCCATCATTTTGATATTTCGCTCGACCCATTCCGATGAAAATTTGTGGAGCTTAATTTTGCTTGGAAATTAAAGAGAAGAAAAGACAAAACAAACGAATAGAAAGTTTTCCCCAATTTTCAATGGTCGAAAAAATGTGATGACGTAATAAGTTTTAACAATTGGGGCCCTAGCAATGAACATGTTTGCCTAGTAGCTTGAGAAAGTTGCTCGAATTAAGAGTCTTTTTAGACAAAAGTTAGCTTTTAAAAAAGTATCGCACTGATTTGATTCGTAAAACTATAGAGATTTTCGTTTTCATCCTATTGAATATTCGACGAAGTGCACGCTACTCAAAATTGCAATTTGAGTGAACTGAAAAAAAGCAAGTTAGTCAATTGCAAACTTTGCATGGGCGTGTTAATTAGATTTTCCGGTTCCAATAATATTTTAATGAACTGGAACCACGCCAGAGGCAAACAATTTATAAGCAATTAGACTAGAACAGTATTCAACTCGAGAAACTTCTAATACTAGAAAGTCCGAATGCACAAAAATTCTCATCCGGTCAAGGTTTTTAAGGCCAAATATTCAGTCATTGGCCAAAAACTAACTGATTTTATCGCTTAATTGCATCGAATTGATAAATATTGAGTTCTTGTTTGCAAAGAAAATTTTCGCACAATAGGAAGCCCCTATTTATAACAGAAAGAACATAAAAACAGGAGTTTAGCGACTTGCAAGCGTGTTGCTTAGCAGGCGCAATTAAGAACCCGATTCGAGATTTTTCACCTAATTTGAAGCAAGATTTGAGCGGTTTGAGCGGTTTTTTTAGACAATTACGCTCAAAATCTTGCTTCACAATGAGCGGGTTTTCAACGGTAGTAGTATGCATATAGTGCGTTAGGATGGGGGGGGGGTTGTCATACATGGATGACCATTAGGTATAAATCATAATGGTCACCATGTATTAAATGATCAGCAATGGTCACCATGTAATAATCCTAATTGTCACCATGTATAATTTTATACCTAATAGTCCTCATGGAAAACTTCGGTATTTTATTGAGTATTCCCACTGAACGTTGTGGTTACATGTTTGGTGCGGGAAAGGATTTGCCAAATCTTCGTTCTGAAACCAGCTGGAGTGTTTAACTGCGCTATAGACTGTTTGCTCAATTCTTCTTAAAACTTTGATTCAAACTCAAATTACATACAAACACATACAAAAGTATGCTAAAGACACTATCGCTTAAATGAAATTGTTTATATCCCAGATTAATTGAGTTCCAAAGCTGAACAAAATCTCGCACTTAAATACTCACTAAACACGGAATAGCGGTAGGTCAAATTTTATGTACAGACAATTCTCATATTAAATAACTGAATTTTATTTACTATACAAATATTAATGTGGTGTTTTTTTGTGTTTTAATCTATTCGTCGATTTTTTGACCGTGGTTCTTCTACTTCAACTGCTTCATAATCGAAAAACGAATCGTTGAAGAATAACGACTCGTCCTCATCGGAAGTATTGGCCTCCAGATCCGCGATATCCCCGCTATCAATATCACTGCCGTTGGTTTCTGCTGCCCGAATCAGACCGGGGTCTGGAGTTTGCCAACTGCTATTGACCTGGTCCATCAGTTGTCGAAGCGAGCGATGTGGTTGTGTTCTCAACAGCAAGACTATCCTCAGAGTATTCATCATCAATATCCGGATGGTCCCAATCAACGTTTTGAGTGTTAGCGAATTCTTCAGACACCCCATCTAGGAAATCGTCACAATCCCACGACACTGGCTGTTGACGATCTTCAAAAAATGGCATCCATTTTTCCAAATCGTCATTGTCAGTTGGGTCAGAATTAACAGCGGCTGTGTTGTCATCACTATCATCAATGCCAATCACAGTTTGACCCACGATGTTTTTGTGAACGTAGGGAAGAGTCTGCTGACTATCATCGAGGAT